CAAAGATTTCTGTATGAAAACAAGAGCGTGAATAAGTGCATTGATAAATGTTCTGTCGGAAATCCTAATTTGTCCTGAACAGTGGAAGAGTAGAAATAGTGAAGGAAAAGAGGGAAGGGAGAGAGAGAAAGAGAGACGGTGGTTGGGGTCTTCCTGAACCAAGCGAATCGAACGTGAGTGCGTGCGTACAGACAGACAGACAAAGAGTTGAACAGTGGAAGATAAGAATCCAACGAAACAGACAGAACCAGAGAATGACTGGTGTCACACACCGACAGCGTAAATAGGACTCACATGCGCACAAAAAGAAAAACATCAGGGAGTAAAAACAAACAAGTTTGGAAAATGCACCAATGGCAAACAGGGTCAGGAGAAGACACGCATGGCACAATTGTGTGTGCGCGATCCGACTGTGGGCGTCAATGCGATAAGGGATGTATGTTTGTTTATCAAATGGCTGCCCTAAAAAGTAATGCGCCCTGAACATCGTCCGCGTCGCGGAAGCACGACAGTGAATAGGAAACAAGGACACCAAAAGATGGGCAAAAGAGGCTAGTCGAAGGGGGAGGGGATAAATTATTCCACGAAAAATAAGGTCAAACCTGAAAATACAAGGCAATAATCAGACAAACTTTAGTTTCTGACATCATGGTGAACAGTGAGGACGGACAGAAGTCACCTAAACAGAGGGAGAGGGAGAAAAGAGCACGAAAGACAAAACCAGAATGGGTCTTTGTATAGCGTGTTCTGACATGAAAGGCTAGATGGACCTGAGTCCCGCAACACAATGATAGTTGGGCACCCAATAAAACCGGATGGGCCTGAAGAACCAACATTACATATGGGCTAAGAGCAGGCACCATGCGGGCGAACAGACACCGGAATCGCACTAGCAGAGAATGGGATGAAACGATTAGAGAAACGGACAAGGCGAGTTTACAGAGACCGGGCGCGAAGTATACCAAACATAGAGAAACTGATCATGTGTCAATAGGGACTTATTGGTGGATCAGGCATGGTAAATTATGTGTGCATTATGTGTGCAGTCGAAGAAGCATCGGGCATTTGGGTGTCCAGCAGACGACGAAGGGTAGGCAAGCGACTGGAATGCCGAGAAAACTGTTGACTGAAGATGGAATCGGTTAGAGTAAGTTCTGTGAAGGATTCCTGTCCGTTTGAAGTGATCGTAGTAGGAAGATCGAATTCAGGGGAACCAATTGGAGTCAGAGGACTAGAGACATTATTCGAATGGACGATCCGAGTCTGAGGTAACTCAGTCGCAAGACATGGTGCGAATGTCGATGTGCTGTGACACGGAAAATTCGCATTTTCATGTGAGTGCACGGCATCTGGTTGAAAACGAAGCACAAAAATATTTTATTAACATTGTATTCTATTGGCGACTCCCAGGTAAATGCATAAAGGAAAAAAATATTGTCGAGAGAAATTATATCAATATCGAATTGAGAAAATGTACGATCGGTTTAGTTTCATCAAAACAGAGCACGAATTTGGCACCTTGAGTTCACTCATTGATGAAATGACGTGTTCATCAACAACGCGTATTAGTTTCCTTCATCGTTTTTGTCAGGCATAGAAAAGAGCCCATGAACTAGGTATTAAATAAGTGGTTTGGAAACAGTTTATTAGTTCGATCTCTAAGGCACTCTACCTTTTGGATTGAGTGGTGTAGGCCAGATTTAATCAACGACCAAATGATTGTTTCCATGGCATGTTTCGCGAATAGGTTAAGAAATCTACGGACGCTTAACCCAGATTGAAACAAGCCCAGCGTTCGGCCTCAACTGGAAGTGATCGAAACGTTGGGATGGACGTTTCACACCAAACCCTTCGTGAGCAGAGTACTGATTCGATGTTTTTGACTGGCGGATTGTTTCCTTCCATGATCCCGTTGATCGTTTTGTGACATTATCGCACCCACAAACAAATCGTGGAACTTCTTTCGCTTTTCTAAAGATCATTGTACTGAGATTTATTTGGCACAAAGTCTGAAACCAGGTGTACGTGAAATATGATATATATCTCGTTTAGTACAACACACGGATTTCAACTACACACGGTAGTAGGAAGTCAGTGGCTTGATGACATCACAGTGTGATCGAGAAGTGTAAGATGTAGATAATGAAGTAAGGACCGGTCGGCGATCAATCGGGAACCCGTCTATTGAAACACAACGTTCCATTGAGCGAATCAATCATGATGGAGGCTGAAATACTTTGTGTTGATTCCCCAGGCAATATCCCGAAGTGTAGATGCGCAACAAAAAGCCACAGACGTCCATGAAAAGCATTGTTTTTGTAAATCTGCCCAGTCACTTAATACAACTATCATCATCACTCTGGTTGTACAAGAACAGGACTGAGGTCCAATACCCGAAGAAAAACGACAGTTGGTACTGAGAATTACAAATGAATCACATTTTCAAGGTTCTTCATGGGTTCCCTCAGCCTAATCGCAGATAGGGAATGAGGAGAAGCATTCAATGTTGACAAAACCAGCTGCAAAAGAGCGCAAAATTTAGAACTGAATAAGTCTATGCTCACTCCATTGCAGGTAAGCTGAATCGGCTGTGACTAATTCATTGCACTTTCGAATGGCCGCCTTTGAGGTGTGTAACAGGTCGAAGATTCCCAAATATGAAATCAGTAATCGGTTAGTTAACNTTAACGTTCGCCATTTTCGGTTGGAACGGAACCATAACCACAGAGCGGTAAAGGGTTATTAAAAAGACTGAATATGCTGCACAACAATCCGAATTCGAGATGCGCTTCGGTTTCAGCTAAACACACACACACACACACTAAGCAACGCGATAGAAAGTCACCGACTGAGCCGCACATGTATCTATTCACTGTCTGATGGTATTTTTACGCGACATTGTGGAGAAACACAAGTACTGAAAACACCGAGCTCAATCGGGTTGTTCCCTAGTTCCCAATACACGGTACATCGGTTGCAAGAGAACCAAGGTAAATATCACGATGGATCATGCAGATGTCTTCGAGAAATTCCGATAAAGCAACATAGCTGAATGCATGACAGGAAAAGCAATTTTATAAAAATTTATGCATAACCTTTGGTCGAGTGAATAACTTCGGTAAAACTATGGCACAATGGGTTACAGAGAAATGCATGGGAATTACACTTTGGATGTTTTCGTGGTCTCTGAAAAGAGCTAGCTTATGGGTATGTTATTCATAAGGGCATTTATAGTATAAAAACGCGATTAGATGAGGATGGGATAAAAGTCAAAACATGATAAAAATGAGTAATAAAAATATTATAAAGCTTACAGCGTCTTCGTTTACGCAAAACGCCGTCATCTGGGAAAGTATCCACCAGGCACTCTGACTTTTTCAACATGCAATACCCGGGTGGAACCGGATATATCTCAGCTTGTGGAAGCAAATAGGAGTCATGGTCGGACAATGGGGTTATCGAGTAGGAACGGGGATATGTGATCATTGTATTCAATTCGTTTGGGCAGGACAGCTCCGTCAAATCATCTTCATCCAGTGAGACAGCAGTAGTCCAAGCGAAACGACCGGATGCACAGGTGGCAGAAGCTCCGATCGGGGGTTGAGTTCCCAAATCTAGTCCCGGGGTGAGGACAAAACTATCTGCATCCGTTGAACTTGGTCCGGAACTTTCGGTACGTTGACTCGGACAAAACGATGGAACATCGATCGGCACCCCAAATTCACCAAATTCTGGATTGATTGACGGAGCCTGACGAGCCTGGATGTTTAAAGAGGAAGGATGACGTGTAGTAAATCCAAAGTGATGAAGGAATAGTTCATTCGACCCACTCGACCACAATGGATGTTCTTTCACGCACTTCTCATTAGATAAATTGGAATAGCGTACTTCATGTGTGCTCTTCAGAGAAAATTGCTCTCGTTGCATATGTTGTCAACGAGACGTTTTGACTTATTTTATTAATGAAATATGAACATAAAAACCGCTGTGCTTTCTTTAAGTAAGAAAGGACGAACGTCTATGAAGCATCATGCTCAAACCGATTAAACAAGCATAACCACCGAAAAGAGGAAAAAACCTAAACTGATGAGAAACAAGCAAACCCGTTTTTTATGAAGGATACTGTAATCAATAAAGGACATTTCGGATAAAAATGATGTCGATACAAAAGGACTATGAATGAGAACAGCTTTCAATTCACAACTTGAAAATAATATTCACTACTTCACATACTAATGACTACCGCATTGACATCACGAAATCACGGAAAGTGGAACGGAGAGAAAAACTGCAAAATCAGTAGATGCGGGAGAACACGTACCCAATCCACCTTTTCATCTAAGGCTATCTTCGAAAGCATACTTTTGACTCCAACGTGCATGTTCTCGTTCCATTTGAGATCGGTGTCCGAACTGGGAGCGTGAAACCGAGAACTGGTGTCCGCATCATAGCCTATGGATGGGGGCGGAGCAGGCGCGATTGAGTTCGAGTCAATTGTGGCGGTGGACTGTTGTGGGCACAAGTTAACCAGGGCATCCTCAAAGGGAACTACACCATCCGTGTCCCAGGCATCGTCGTTCAGTGCATCATAAGCGCTAAGGGTGTTGTGCGACGAGATACCGTTGGTTGTGCCTCCGGTCACCGGTGAAACCAAATGACGTGGGCTACACGAACTACCCGCGATCGCCTTTCGGTGATGATGGTGGTGGTGATGATGATGATGATGTTGACTATAGGATCCCATTTCTGCCGCAGTGGATTGTTCTGGCACAATAAAATTATAAAATAAAATAAATGTAAAAGAAGTAAATACACACTGATACGGAAACCGTTGGGACTGACGACGGTGTAAAACATATCCCGAATATTTCGTTTAACATCAAATCTGTCTTGAGCTCACCAAATTATTTTCAACATCCACACAACTCAAGATTCAGCTTTGTGGTTCTAGATACCGCAATTCAGCGTTGCCGTGAACAAACCGATGCAGCAAAACAAAAGCACGAGAAAGAATGCAATAGAAAATATCAGATCGTAGCAATGATTGGATAAGGTGAGAACAAGTACAGTCAATCCCCTGCTTTGTCAAACCCCTGAGAAGTAGCATTTTCCAACATCTTCCCGCTTTTTCGAAAACCCAAATCAACCGTGTATGTAATAATGTAGTTTCGGACCATACAATGTCGCACCCGTCAATATGTCGCCGTTCCTGATACGTACTCACTTGGTCGTTGACCGATGTTCGGGAGGACCATTAGCCATCCACCCTGAAATGTCGCATTCAACCAATGGCGTTTCACTTAATGTAGCGCGTTCAGGGCACTGTTCACTGATTGGATAATCCCAGCGAGCAAGTCACACCGATGTAAGTGATCGGAGACAGTCAAAATGTGTGACGTCAAAATGTGCAAGCGCCTATCGATCAGAGAGGAGCAGAATGCGTTGAAAACAGCCAGGTGCAACTCAGAGCTCCGTAGCCAAATCACTTGGAATTTCACGAAAAGCTGTCTACAATGTTATATCCCATTGAACGACTATCAGATAATTTTTGAACGCTGGAGCATCTGAGGAAGGATGCCACCTAAAAACCAAGGAAAAGTTCAAGGTAGTGAATGAGGCAACTTTCGCTTGGTTGACTGTGATGAGGGAGAAGTTCGGAAAGTTCCCACTGGTGGAGAGCATCGTATGTAAGAAGACAATCAAGCCAGCACAAAGATTGCATCATGATGACTTCAAGGCTTCCAAAGGTTAGTTTCGCTCTTGGTCAGGGCCCTGATAGGGTATTACAGGCAGCTCCCACAAAGAAAATTACGTCTAAAAGGAAAGTTTCTGGGTTCAAGAAATTCAAAGGGAGGGTCAAGTTACTGCTTTGTGGAAGCATGACTGAAGAAAAGTTATCACCTTCGGTGATTTGAAAGTTTTAAACTTCACGATGCCTCCGAGATATAAATAGAAAAGCCTTTCATGCAGTTGTGATTCTTCGAAAAACGCATGGATGACTTCTGCGTTATTTCACAGTTGGCTATCTGATGTCAACCGCAAAATGGTTTCTCAAAGGCGCTCTATTTGATGATGAAGAAGTGGATTATTTACAAGTATCATGTCTTTGTTCAGTCATTAAACGATTTCATTTCTAAGTAAGCTGAGCATCATAAAGAAGAAAATGAATTTGAGGCAGTGAATGTGACAGAAGTTGTCTCAATCAGAGAGGAGTAGAAGTTATTGGATCAATTGAAGCTGTTTGCCTTGACTAATGCTTGGGTCGATTATTGGAGTGCACCATTGATTTAAACAGCGCGTTTGTTGATTTCCAAAGGAGAGCAAAGCTGAGACAAACGACAACTTATTATTTTGCTAATAATACACTTTTGTAATGTGCACAGTTTTGCAATTCTGTGGGGCACTCGGAAGTGGTCATTTTTTTTGCTACAATAGTCACTAAAGCCACGGTCATTCGGTCTATCAATGGGCTCTGAAAGATAATCGCAATGGACTAGCAGGCGAGTGTGTGGAGTGAGATGTCAGATTCGAGCGATCGATAACGACCGTCGCGCGGATGCGCGTGTGTGAATGAATGAACGATACTCTCATTTGTCCTAGAGCATCAATGAAATAAGACAGGTCATCTTAACCTGGGTGTGAGGACAGCTTGTGAGATGTACTTCCAGTTTATGAATCACGGGTTGACCAACAACGGTCATGACGAATACCTCAATTGGATTGAACATACACTGGTACCAACAAAGCGAACGAACAAACAGATGTCTACAGACGCTAATGGTACACATTTCTCACTAGAAAATCATGAATAGATTACACAGTGAACAAACAGTTTGAATATGGGAAAGAAGTCAATGTTCTGAGTACACACCGTAACAGATATTTCACTCATTTTATATGTTATCTCCTTCTCACTGTATTCGAACTGGTTCACTTTTATTTTCCTTGAATGGGTTAGAAATGATGGGATTATTATAGCTAAAACAGTTGTATATTATGGTGGACGTCCTATAATCAATTCTGTGGTTAGTCTAACATTGCACCGGAATGGAAGAATATCTAGAATTAGTATGGGATAATTGGGGCAAAAGAAATTCCCCTGAAGAAAGGTAGGTAGTTTCGGGATAACTAGACACTTAGAACTGGAAAAGGCTGAATACTGCACACAATGAACCGATATTAAGCTAAGGGCGTCGTAAAATATTTAAATTTCTTCGATACAAAAAGGATACGCAGGACGGTAAATCGAAATCCCGTTAAAAATAAACAATGCATAATTATAAACAATGGGAACAAGTAACGGAATTAACCTACTTTTCATCGATCCGGTTTATTTTGTCACAAAACTGTCAACCGATTTTATACTACTTAATAGCACCTACTACTGATCATACTGCTATGTGGCAGTTCCTGAAATTTATCCACTTTTCGAATCCCCAAGGGGTGCGACATTGACTGTACAAATGCATGTAGACACCTACGGATAATCATATTGAAAATCAGTTCAAGACAGGTAAGTTATCGAATGTGAATAGATTGCAAAAGATCGTTGAGTGTTTCCACACCCTACGTGGTCGATCATTTTGACACAGAGGAACTACATCGGTTCTAAGGAAAAAATCACCAAGACTAATCAGGATTGATGACTATTGGAATTGAACCGTCAATATGACCACATGGCCAGTGGGGACGGACGGAAGTGGAGTCAATCTCGTGTTACAAAAGCTTTTCTGTTGGCACGAAAAATGCTAGTTGTGATGGGATTTGGGGCCACTCGTTCGAATTAGTGCCTAATCAACGACTTCACAATGCCGCTAGCCCAACAGATCACTTGGCTGACCGGATATAAATTTTCAGTCAAACTGAGCTTAGGCTATCGCACTTATTGGTAGATGAACACGAATCTGTAATGTGCGGACACGCGCAATAACTTAATAAACATCGAAACGCCATCAAGAGTACTATTGCATTTTTATAGTTAGCAGATGAAACAAGTCTTGCAGTAACACATTAAATATTCTAGTAGGTTTGCGCTCAGTCTTTATCGGGAGAATCGACAGGAGGATCAGACAACAAATGCATACCCTCACAACGGGGTGAGAATACTCTAATACTGTAAAAAGCAACACCGGTTGGAATCGTTCTGGCACATTTGCCTATTCTATACAATT